ACACAATGAAATGTAGGCCACTCACTATGCTCATTCCTGGAGATGTCAGAACCAACTAATGTGGCACATGTAGTCATGTCTTGCTTACATACTATCCAGGACTTGGTGTTAGCACTCCATATGGGGCTGCCTTTGAAAAAGTGTTCAGAGACCTCCAAAATCCTATGGTCACACTGTTGACCAGTGGCTGCTGCCAGCATGCGACTCCGTTGATGCAACAGTTTTACTGAGTACTGTTTTCTTTCCAAGCACAATTTAAAGAGCTGGATACTGCTCATAAAGCTGTAGGTAACATAAAGCTGTAGGTAACCAGGACACTTGATAGACCAGTTACTCCTATGTGAAGTGTCTGGTTGGTTCAGATCTTTGGGGAGGCCATCCTCTCTTTCTTGACACTGTTGGAGCACTGTGAATACCAACCATATTTGGTAGGAAGTGAGGGGGGGGGTGCCTTCTCAGTGGCTGCTCCCAGGCTCTGCAACTCCCTGGAAAGCTAAGCACACCCACACCCACATACACATTCCTAGCAAAAACCTTTTTATTCAGAAGGGCTGTGGCACCATTATTTCTTTGCCAGTGATGCGCTTTTAACTACGTATGTTTGTGATCTGTTTTTTACATTTGAACTGCATTTTTTTTCGTACTTGAATTTTAGTACTGTACTGTTAACTGCCTTAATTGCCAATTACTGTATGTAGCAAACAGAAAAGGGTTTAAAGTAATCAATAGGGTCATATTCCCCTAATAATAATTTGCACCTGGAGGAGACAACCAGTGTTGCTATGACAGTTTTTATTTTCTTTTTCAGTTCAGGACCAGCACCAAATTCTGTCTGAAAGAGTTCAGGGGAAAGACTGAGAAAGCAACGGGAGAAAATGAGGGTATACCTTACCCAAATGACTTTGAAAGCATAATGCTACAAAGTTATCATCATGTCAACCACCTGAAGTACTGCAACTGGATATCTATTAACAATTCTTATTTCATAGAACAAACCTTATGCAACAGGCTTCACAGACTGGCAACAAGTTCCTGTGCCAAACAATGAGGTTACCTTTTAGCAAATACTTTTTAATGGCTCAAGCAATTTATTTGATTCAACCAGACAAGTTAAGAGGCTGATTATCGCTCTCCCATTTGTAGAGATAAATCACCTATTCCAATGATACATTATCTCACCAGAAAATGACAATTCATTGTTCACAAATTTGAACAATCATTGTTTATGATGCAATTTCCATCCAAGGAACTATTTAATGACTGATCATTCGCAATAATCCTAGAATCAATTTAAATATGGTGCAACTGCTTTGGAGAAAAGTTTTTAAAGCAACAGGTAACAATGGCTGAATCACTTAAAGCCACATTACACATTTGGAGAAAGATTAACGGCACTGTCCACGGTCTTTTCAAAAGACACAATCCATATACAATACAGGTACAGAGAGCATTCACACAGAGAACTCCTGTGCAGCAGGAGTGGGGAACATATGGCCTTCCAGCTGCAGTGAGACTGAAACTCTCATCAGCTGTAACCAGAATCATGGAGCATGGGAGTTACAGGCCAACTACAACTGTAGTCACACATTGCTAACACTGCCATTTAACTTAAGACTCTGCTGCTGTTTTTCTTAATGCACACAGTAGCACACTGGACTATTAGGAGAAAGCCTGTATATATCATCCATGCATGCATCCATTCATTCATCTAATACATATCAGCTGTGTTTCTGTTGAACCCCATAGAAATCTTTTGTACATTAGTGCTGAATCCATACTCCTTGAATTCTGTTCTGCAGAATCTCCCATCCCACAGGATGACCCCAGGGTCCAGTATTACAGGAGAGGAAGAAAACATCTCTCTACCCCTTATCTCTACATTGTGCATAATTTTATATGGCTCTACTGTCTTCCCCTATTCACCTCTTTTGTTAAGTAATTAGCCTCAAATATTGCAACTGCTTCTCTTAAAGGAATTGTTCCCCCTCCCCCTGATCTTTTAACTTGCTCTTTTCTCCACTCTTCCAGCTGTAGAATGGGAAGTGTTGTGCCCACAACTAGAAATAGCATTCTGCCTCTTGTTGCAACATAGGCATATAGTCATTTTGCTTTTAATTACTTTCCTAATGATCCACAATATGGAATACTTCTTTTTCACAGATAATCCTATGCTTTACTGATGTTTGCATCAAACTATTCATCACAATCCTAAATGCAACTTTTATTTCCAGCTTCAGCCCACACCAGTCTATATGTTAAGGAAGGATTTATTTTGCCATTATGGACATCACCTAATACTTGCTTACATTGAATTGCATTTGCTATTCTTAATTGCCCACACTGAAGAAAACTATTAAGAGTCGTTCTCTTTCTTTTCATAGCAAAAAAAATAGTCTGCCATTCACAAATTTGGCCATTTCAGTGGCCAAGACCAACTCAAGATCGCAGATGAAGAAGCTAAGAAGCAACAACCCCAATACAGTTCCTTGGGAAAAATTTTGCATCTTACATCCCTCCAAACTGAGGATTTTTTACAACTCTGTGTTTGCTATTCTTTCCCATCTGCAGGAAGGAAAAAGAGAACTCAGAGGGTGTGATTTGCTTGCAAAAAGCCATTTAAAAGAACACATTAATCAATCCTCCCCCAGTGCCACTGCCGCATTCAGCCTCGCAGCCCCCTGCCCACTCTCCCACCTCCATTTCCCCAAAACTATAAAACAACCTTGTGGGTTCTTCTTTAAAATGTTGCAGCTGAAGTTACATATAATCAATGGTTGTTGTGGTTTTTTGGGGCTCTTTGGCCGTGTTCTGAAGGTTGTTCTTCCTAACATTTCGACAGTCTCTGTGGCCGGCATCTTCAGAGGACAGGAGTCAGAAGTCCTGCCTGTGCTCTTAAGAACACGGCCAAAGAGCCCGAAAAACCCACAACAACCATCAGATCCCAGCTGTGAAAGCCTTCGAGGATTACATATGATCACTGGGCAGAATCAATCACTTTCTGGTAATCACCGGTTTGGATCTTAGTACAAAATGCTAACATAAACACACAAACACACACACACACACACACACACACAGAGAGAGAGAGAGAGAGAGAGAGAGAGAGAGAGAGAGAGAGCACTTGGGTGACAGCAGAGGTCAATGCAGCTCAATTGCTCCCACTCTAAATTTCTTCCAGCCAAAATGAGCACTCAGTTGCATGCAATAGCCTCATGCTCCACTGAACTACATGCAGCCACATACCCACTGCGCGTTTGTCATGGCAAATCATTACTTCTCTCTCTTCCCAAATTCCTTAAAATGAAGCAGCACCGCACACCTGGCTTTTTCTATCTCTGCCGTGAGTATCGAATCTATTCCTATCTCGGAGAGTTTGTGATGCAACAGGTTCAACTCTAAACTTTGCCTGTAGCTCTTAAGCACACTCACTGGCCTCTGTTTCACACAGATTCCTTCCTAAGAGGCACAAATACTTATTACGGCACCCAGCACCTTAAAGCACTGGAGGCTACTGCCTCACATTTGCAGAAAAGTTCATATAAATATTTACCTTTCCCTTTTAGCAATGGTTTTCTCTTGGAGTTAGAAAAGGCTAAGGTTTCCAGATCCATGTTTTATCATGTACAAAAACAGGGTACACAGGGAAGCCTTATGAGTTTCTAAATTAATTGCCAAACTCTGACTTAATGATCCCTCTGGTCCTATATTTTCCACTCCCTGCTAATCTCAGATTTTGTGTCCCACCCCTCCCCACAATCAAGTCTCTAACCACTGGTGCCTAAATGTGATGAACAGGGAAGAATAACTGATTGTGTTGTAAAAGAGCTGGGCAAAAAAAAAGTCTGCATAAAGCTTAGAAACTCATTCTTCTCCCACTAAGTGGTGACCATATCTCTCAGAAATCAAAAGTACCATCCTAAAAAATAACAAAAAAAGGGAGGAGAAAGCAGCAGAGTAAGAAATATAACATGGCATTTCCATGCACAGAAAAAAAGAACAGCAGACTGTGAAGCACATTGCAATATTTGCAAATGGGGTGAGAGTTAGTCTAATTAACAGCCCCATGCATGTTTACACAAATGTAAGATCCATTGTTTTCAATGGGGCTTACTGTCAAAAAATGTCTACAGGACTACAGCCTTAAATATCTTCTATGAGATAAGTGTCTTAATTTTTATTTTGTCCTTGGGAATTTAAATGCATTCTTTCACATGTAATATAAGGAAACCCCAGCAACCTGGTTTCCTGCTGGAAAGGAACTCTAAAAGATTATTTGAAATTTGAAAAGTGGGGGAAATAAGGGTGTCTAACCCCACTTTCCCAATCTATGACATGGTTTGTATGACTGACAAATTTGCGTAATGTGTAATAATTAGGCTACCCTGGTTTGGACTCTAAAATATAGCAACCCTAATTAGAAGAAGCCTTAGGCAAGCTTTAAAATCCAATATACTGATTATTAATTTTTAAAATTAATAAATAATGAATAGAATCAATCAATCAATCAATCAAAATATTTAGAGGCTTTCCTACTGTCTTAATGACCAAAAGCAGGTCTTAGGATATGATGTGAACATGGATACGTGAACATGTAAACAGCCTATGAAGTGTGTTATTGAAAAAAATGAAAAGATGACACACCTGCTATTTCATACTTTCTGGCTGCTAAGTCTTCAGATGGAAATGAAACCATTCTGGAAATAGTATGATAAAAATCAAGGGGTGACAAGATACTCTAATAGCCTAAATTATTTTCAGTGAAATGTGGGGCTGGGAAATTCTCTACCATCTGAGTACCAACAGATTTGCTACAGCAATAAAAAAACTTATCTTCCGCAACATATCTGCATGTTAGTACTGATGTGTTTCAGCTGAAATTGCATTAGTGACAAAATGTTGCCATCTTAAATATTATGCAGCACTAAACATAGCAGCTGTTAGAAAAATATACAGTTACCACCCAAGAGCATAACAGAAGATGCAAAAATCCCACTGCTTACCTTTCCTTGGTCATTTCCCTAAAGATAAACATAATGTTTGGTCAACATTGTAACTTTTTATTCACCTCAAACTCACACATACAAAGCAACAGGTCTGTCACCAGAACAGCCAGCCAAACAAAGAAGAAACATGATTGATCAGTACTATGATGCGCACCTCATGAACTGTCATATTTTAACCATGAGGGATTGAATGCCTTGAATGATGCACTTTATGACTAAGAGTAACATTTAACATAGGTGATTGGGAGAAACATGGTTTCTCCCAATCGCCTATGCTAAATACATATTTTGGCTGCTCAAGACTTCATCCAATTAAGATAGGGCTCTTCTCAGTGATTAACCTTTACAGTACAGGATCGTGTCTACTACACAAGCCATCCAAGGAAAGTTATTCAATGCATGCATGTTCAACAAATTGTAATCTATAAAAAACTACGTACTTTGAAAGTATTTGAAATATCTTTGATTTCTAGGATCCAACATTTCATAGCAACAGTATCTTACAATTTTACTCTAGGCATACTGTTACCTGCTCCCTTCTATGTACTCTTATTAAGCAGTGTCTTACTCAATTTAAGATATACTTATTTCAGAACTAAATGCATGGTATAACAGCATATAGTTGCCAATGTATTTATATCAGCAGCCTGTACATTTACATAATGCTAAGTGAGCCAAATGTCTCATTTGTGTAACACCAAATAATATACAGTAATATCATCACACTTGTGAGTTAAAATGTCTTGCAAGGGGGATGCCTTAAAGACCTCATGTTCTATATCAATACACCAGGATAATCCTGTTCTAGCAAATTAAGTGTAAGATTATTGTGGATAACAAAATGCATCCAGCGCCATGCCTCTTTTCAGTATACATTTCTTAACAGATTCAGGCACAGATCTAGCCTGTTTGAGAAGAGGCATTTCTAGTTTCACTGATCTTGAATGGATCCTAAAAATTCAAAGCAACAAGATATGCCTCAAGCTCATTTTCCAAATCAATTCCTTAAATGCAATGTGTAAGATACGAAAAATAACATTAATTATGTATGTTGGTAGATACAAGAACAGGAACAACAAAAAGGACACACAAAAGCAAGGTACCAATGAAATCTGAAAAATTCAATCCCCAGTTCATGAAACATATCATACATTTATGATTGCTTGGACAAAATTGTTCAAATTAAAGGTAAAAGGCAAAGAGGCATTCTTTTGTCTCTGATCAAGTATTCTTTTTATATTAAATTGAAATGTATTTCAATTTCAAAACCTAATTTTTTTAAATAATAAAAGCTATGCTTGTTCTCTTTTCTACAGACATTTCAGAACATGTTTCACCAGTACTTACATATGTAGCATATAAAAGTTTAGCTTGCATGTCATTCTAGCAATCGGACACATAGATGCTATATAGAGCTATTCACATTGAAACACAATAGTTGCTCTACTGTGTATGGTAAAAATTCCAGGAAAAGATTTTTAAAATCAGATTGGCTGAGGAATTACTATTGAATCAGATAGCTTTTAGCAATTTTAATCAATATTATAATTGACAAAATATCTTATCCTTGAAAATGTGTCTGAATACATCTTTGTAGACAAAAGACAGGTGTTTTAAGAAAATGCTTACTTACATTAGGCAACAACATTAGAACACAGACGTGGCCAATTCTAAAGAGTTGGTTAGTATTAAATATTTGTTCTTAGAGGTACACCTTCCCAACCCATACCATTTTAAATGAAAAACTGGATTAATGGAATGTATATTTCAAATATAATAATTAAAGGAAACAGGTATGTATATGTCAATATATAAAAATGTAGTAATAAGAAATAGCTGTAAATATCTGGACCATAGCTTCTCAATTTTTTCTTCCCATATTTAATTCTTTACTTATTAGCACATACCCTGAATTTGACTAGATTTGTTTCACAAAGGTGAATAAAATTCAGCTAATTATTACAAAACAATCTAAGACACCTTCTAGCTAAACCTGTTTTTTCCCCCCAGTTGGTTACTTTTTTAAAAAAAAGCACACTCATCTCTAGCATAATTCTCCTTTCTTTGCCTTTTAAAAATCAAGCAATATTCTTACAGGACAGCTTTATCACGAATAGCACATGTTAGGAACAGAGGTAAAGCAGTTCATTCAATGAGGCAGCTATGTAGGATACTTGACACCAACCGCATTTGGTTCTGAACAACAGCAGACATTCCTAGCTCCCTGTCTTGCAGCAGCTAAGTCCAGCCGTGCTTCCTATCCTTACATTACTGTCTCTAATTATAAATATGACTGGAAAATAATGCTGTTTTTTTAGTCTTGCCTAGACATCTAAATAATTTGTGAAGTATCCTTTTTCTTTGCAGTTGATTCTCAACTGAAGGTCTGAGCAATCAATAGTGAACAACGAGATACTTCACATTCAGAAGCAAATACTGGTGCTTTCATATCATATAATTTTTTAAAAAATAGGTATTTAAATTATAATTATTACCAGTGTTTGCGTTGGGGGGGCAAAAAAGACAAAAGAGTGTCACGGCTAGTTTTAAGACTAACAGGTCTTAGCAGGAGCCTTTCTGGGTTACAATGGACAGGCTTTTGTCTCAGAATGGCAGAAACAACTACTATCCCAGCTTAAGGAAATGAGAGGGTGACAGTGCAAGTCCCCCAGTGTAAGGCTGACTTCATTTAGTCATTCTAAAAAGGCAAACTATTTCAAGATCAGCTCTGTCATAACTTTCTTCTTCTGGCCATGAGTGTAACCTAGCCAAGCAAACAAATATAGACAGCTGAGCTTAACTGGAATGGCCAACTTGCTAACTGGCAAACAATACCAGTGATAACTACGGTGAATTCTTTTCTGTGTTCCAGACTGAACAAAGGCAGTGTATTTTCGATTCTCCCAATAATGTGAGTGTGTTTGTATGTGTGTGCTGTCCTTACATTCCTATGTGTCAACAGCCAGTTGTTCACCCACGGATGCTCAAAGAAAAGTGATCACCTAGAGTTCACTTCTAAAGCAAAGGAAGTCTTTTGTCCGAAGTGTTATTTTTTCCCCACTTCTCACTATTACCACAGCCTCACACAACAAGACTGTGCCTTTATTTTTTTTATTTATGCCCTCGTTTCTAGATGTGAACCTTGCTCTGCTTTGGGCAAGTTTTATGCTAATAACTGTCTGCTGCTTTCAAGATGTTCTCCTGCATTCATGCAAAACCGCAACAGAAAGCAAATATGGGCATAAATAGCATCCAGTTCTTTGTAAACTATACTTCATCAATTCATATAGCAGGATGCTACATTAAAAACACTTGCCTACCTTATATCTCATTTTAGCACAGTAAAAAAAAAAAAGGAAAACAGACACACACCTCACCACAGCTCTAGTTTTGCACATGCGTAGATACATATAAAAACCACACACACATAAAACAAACCCTGGAACTGTCAAAACATTCATGTTGCACAGGAGCAAACATCCAGCTCGCAAGGAGCCGAGAGGTGCCTTAGGAACTAATTTAGATCTGTGATGATTTTGGAAAACCATGGTTCAAGGGCCTTTTAGGATGGATAGATGGACAGACAGACAGACGAATGTAATAGGTGCAGGAAGACACACAAAATCAGTATTTCCTTTAATCTTTTTTTTAAAATCTCAGTAGGGCTAAAATGGCCCTTTAAGTCACAGGGGTGGGAATGTAACTAGAAACTTTCCTCCGAGCACAGCTGACCCTGCTGGGGAAGGTCTATTTCGAGATGCTGTTGGCTGCGATCAGGAATATCCCGGGCAAAGTGCAGGACCGGGCTCCGAGGGATCCTGGAGAAGCAGGCCCTTTGCAGAGCAGCCAAAAGCCGGCAGCATCCTGCGCTGTTCTACCAAGTGACACTTTCCCTCCTCCAAAAAAACAGAACCGGGGCTCTGGATCTCCCTTCGATTCGGCGTTCAGCCCAAACCTGGACTCTCCTCTCCACGCTGCCCGGCCGTCCACCGCCTCTTCTTTGCCTTTGCTTCCTCCTCCTTCCTCCTTCCTCCTCCTCCCACTAAGGCGCTTTCCCCGGGAAAATCTCCTCCACCCACCCGGCTCGGCTCCCCCAGCGACAGACAGCGCAAGCAAACCCTTGCCGGACTCAGGTGGGACTTACGTTGTGGCAGAAGGGAAGGGCCCTTCCGCGGAGATGTTTATCACCAAGGACTGGGAAAGTGTCAGGCTCCAGAAGAGCCACCAGCCAGCAGCCATCTTCCTGATCGAAGATCGATGCCCCTTTGCCCACAAGTGCCGGAGGAAGGGAGAAGAATGGTGGCGGGGATGGCGGTGGCGGGGGGGATGGCGGGCGGCGATGAGGATGAGGATGAGGCTCGAGAGAAAGTTTAACAGATAATCATAAAAAGGGGAGAGATCGTGGAGGCGCAAAGCCGAAGCCCCTCTCCTCGCCTTCCTCCGGGCTCCAGTCGAAAGCCACAGGCAGCTTGACAGAGGCAGGCAGCGGCTCGTTGGGGGTGGCTGGGAGGAGGAAAGCGATCGAGATCTGTGGGTGGAGAGGGGGAAGGGGAGAGAAGAATCAGGAGAAGAGAGCGAGCGAGCCCCAGCTACTCCGGCAGCAGCTTCAGCTTCCTCGGATCCGCCGCCATCAGGGCTACTTTTGTAACAGATCTCGGCTCACTCCGTGTGTGCGCGTGTGTGCGTGTTTCCGTTCCTG